ACGTACTCTTTCTCTCTGAGGCAACATATTCGTTCCCGGCGAGCACAGAGTGACCACGGTAACGTGATGGATCGTATTCTCGAATTTAAATAACCTCTCTTGTATTTAAATACCCTAATGATAGAATACTTTGACGATAGCAACATTCTCTCTGAGCATACAAAACGTTAGTGTTGCATCAAGATGAACAGTGATAAATCTAAGATGAGAGTACGAAAAGCTGCAACGCTCACTGTGTATTTGCGAGAGCGAGAGTGAGAACGAGAGCGAGCGAGCGAGCGAGCGAGCGAGAGAGAGAGAGAGAGAGAGAGAGAGAGAGAGAGACTCCCTATTAGAGACTTCTTGCCATAGCGTGTTTCGAACACGTTAAATATTAATGTCGCGCCAAAGTCGCGTGTGGGGCGAATGATAATTTAAGTCCAGAATGGAAATTGCCGTTTTGCGCGGAACGTGGGAGCTCCGTGCGCTTGGCGTCTACTCGAGTACGGTATTGCAAAAACTGTCTTCATTGGAAAATCGATTTTCCCGACACGCTCGTTATTTATCGTCGTTTATCCCGTAGGAAGTTTCTCTGCGCACGATGGTTAGTTTGATTATTCGTGGTACGACGGTTAACAAAGTTAATGACTGATAGGGTGACCGGTAATATGTATCGTTCTAAAAGGTAGCAGCATAGTTAAACGCGTCGCCAAAGGAAGGGACAAAGTTAAGTTTTATCGTCTTTTTTCTTCCTCACAATGCAATTCGCCTTTGTTCACCGCCGGGCCGCTAATGATCATTCTTGATTAAAAGGAGAAATGCGGACAAAACCTCAGACAAGTAGGACGCTATTCTTGATTCTCCACCTCTTTTACGCGGAATCGAGTCTTGACATTTTCCGAATGCGTTCGCGGACAATTCTAAAACAACGAATGTCTACTAGGTAACTCATCTTTAAATATACTATGGGATTTTAAGCCGTATGCAGAGTGCCCTAATAACGTGCTATTTTGGTATAGCAAACGCGAAGATATTACGATGGCAGTTATTGACACAGCATTGAAATAGCGTACTGAAATACTGTAACGTGACTGCGTGTACACCAAGTGTTAATTTTTATGCACTCGAAACATTTACGCTTTTTTCCAACAAAGATTTTTTTCAATTACTTATGAAATTAGGATAAATGTGATAATGCAATTTGCGTGGTGATGGAATTAACCCTTAGTGTACTGTACGGTAATATTCTAATCCTTTATTATACACACGTTCGTGTCCTGGATTAATTTTCATCACTTTTATATTAAATATATAAACATTATTAAGTAGTTCTTTCATATTATACCTTAACACTAGAACTGTCAATGGTCAATGGCCATTTTGGCTCCGCTAATCGTTTCATTTTTTTTCTTTTCTATATCAGATATATATATAGTACAGAATAATAAAAATATGTAAACACGAAAATATGTAACACGAACAATACCAATATAACTTAACGAATAATATCAATATAACTTTTCACTAATCGAACATAAAGATAGGAAATTATCAAATTAGCATCTTCAGCAACTTTAGCGACATATCGGCGGTTCTAGACTATTAACATCTTTAAAGAAAGTACTTCTAAAGTTACGTATTTAAAAAAAGGTAAAAATCGAGATTATTATTTAGCCAAATGCTTCTTAATATTTCAAAGAAAAGAAACACGCAGGACCCAATCGTGTGTTTTAAGGATTAATATTGCGATTCTATTATTTTACAATGATTATTAAACAAGACTAACTAAAGTTTTCCGAGAATGTTTGTGATAAATAAAATAAAATACACACATAGCGCGGATTATGGATTCACATCGCGTATCACGCTTCTGGGATGTCTCCCCGTTAAGTCACGTGTCTTCCGCAGTCGTTCGCGTTGTGTGTTGCGGTCTTTTTCAAGGATATACGTACAACAATTTGTGTGTACCGAATCCGAATGTAGAGAGAGCAACATGGGTGCGAATCGTCCTCAGAGAGAAATAGAAATAGATAAAGACGGCGAGGAAGATACAGAGACGGAGAGGCCTTCTGCCTTCCCGAGACCTCCTAGGAAATTGACATTTGCGCGAAGGGCCCATTACCCTAGAAACCACACTTTTTTTTCCACTGCCACTTACATTAAGAGTAAAAATTTATACAAGTTCTCCATTGACAATCGAAGGGTTCTTGTCTATTTCCTCGGACTCGGTGATGCCGCATATCACTGAGAGTTGAATAAAAATCGGACGAATGCTGTTGAGAGTAAGCCAACATCAAATGTTAATGATTATAAAGTAACTTTGTAGGGTTTCACTTTGCACTTTTGATTCCCGTCTCGCTCGAAAATAAAAACAAAGTACGAAGTACACAAAGTGAAAAGTTACGAAGCTTCTTAGTAGTGCAGAACATATAAGAAGGTATTTCTTCGAGGATTCTTCTAAAAAAAAAGCAAAGAATCAAAAATCAAATTGACATCGTAACACATAATAATAACGATAAATGAATGGAAATGAGTATAATAGATTGTTATCTGTCGTTCAAATGTGTTTTGGTTGTCAAGAATTGAAAGTGGAAGATTGATAGAATCACTGGGAATTTATAAAAATAGCTATCTTCTTCACTTAGGCGTTTAGAATCTAATTCAGTCGCGTTTGCCATGACAGTTATGTGATCGATCGGAAAAATATCAATAATTTCCGCCTGTCCCTCTCCGTTTACGTGTCATCTGCGATCGCTATGATCGATCTTATGACGAACGCGAACGCGAATGCAGGTTGCGTATGCTTTTATATTGATATGGTGTTGTTTTATCATGAAACAGAGATAATGAGATAATAAAATGTAAAATGTCTCTATTTACATACAATCTCAAATATATCTCGTGCCACGTATATATTATAAAATTTCTGGAAATTGTAAAAGTCATCGAGCATCAAAATTTGCAATTTTTCTCGACAAGATTCTAAAAAAGAAAATTTTATAAGATTTTGAGATTTAATTATAAAAATTTGTATCGCTATTTATTTCAATACAGTGATAAGTACGTCTTCTGAATGTTTTTTTTAATTTGATTATTAATTCTAAAAAAAAATTGTACACAGCAAGAAAAAAATGTATGTTGATGAGATTAATGAATTTTATTATATTTTGCGAGTTTCAAGCAACTTTGTGAGATAAGCTGAAAAATTGAACGTACGATTATACGTGAAATACAAACACAATTTTTGACAAATATACGACTTCTTGACTTCTTATTGACAGCCAGTTATATTTTACTTTAAATCAATAACGTACGTGTATAATACTGTCGATCATCAGTAACTGTCATAGGTTTCGAGTTAAATCAACAAAACAGCATGAAAACGTCAATCTTGATTGACGTTTCATTAAAACGCCAATCGCCGCACACGTGGTGTATCAAAGTCAAGTGCGTATTACATCGCGCGGAAGAACTCCTTGTAAAAGTTACGTGATGAGATTTCGCATAGATTTTTAATGACAGTTTCAGGCTTACGACAATCTTACGACAAATTTTGTGAAATTAGACAAATGAATTTTCGTCGCGTGTCGGGAATATACTTGAGAGCGAGGTGACGACATCGCACGTCGTTTTTACGATTAAATTGTGACCTCGTTTCGAATAGACATTTGCATTCACATGCATTCAGCCTCGCATTGCGGGAGGATATCCTGCGTGACTTATGTAATCCAAGGCCGTCCAATCGCGAATAAAAGGCAGTAGTCGGTGTCGATTGACTGACCACTGTTGTCACCGCGGCTATCACTCTGCCGCGCTTGTATCAATTATCGATACATATAATATATTGAAAGTCAGAAACGCGTATGAAATCGGTCCCGATAAATTCGAATCCCCGTATTTGCAGCTTAATGCAGGTATAAAATGCATATCTTGCGCCAGCAGACTCATTGTCAGCTTGCCGAGAGAGTATATGATTTCTCTTTGCGATATATCGTGGTATTATCAAACTCGCAAAGTTTGCATGGATTGTTTTGTGTATCTATAGACATAATAGGTACAAACTGCGTATTCCTATATAAAGTTATCACTGTTAACTCAGAAAGAATGTAGCTCTCTCTCTCTCTCTCTCTCTCTCTCTCTCTCTCTCTCTCTCTCTCTCTCTCTCTCTCAACTACCCTAAAGTGTCGAGTTGAAGAGAAACGTTGGTGTAATTCAATATAGAACTTTAAATATAATCAACCATCATTTTAATCTCAGAATCAATTGTTGTATTTTGAAATAAGATAAAAATAACAAAAATGAGCAAATGCATTAGTTGATAAAATTATAAATATTCTAATAAATTCATTCACTTTTGTAATTTTCATTTCATTTCAAAATATAATCGATCCTTTTTTAATCTACATTAAAATTTTATATTAAAATAATTTAATATAATTGTTGT